ATTCAAAGCTTTTACGGGCTCTGCATACGCCAGAATAAAGGTGATGCAAAGGCAATGTCAAATGCAACCAAAGCAATATTGTTGCACTATTCAAGCACTGAAGAAAAACCTCAACATGACTGTTGCCCTGTTGGCCCGAAATCATGGTGTAGTTATCAGAGAGATTTGGCTTGCAAGACAAAAACTCACCGATGCATCAAGGATCCTATCCCTCCAGCTGTTGTTGAAGTTATAAAGCCAGTTTTTGATAAGCTAGGTGATGAAAAGTTCCTTGGTGGATGTGAGAGATGTGCAACACAGAATGCCAATGAAAGCTTGCATCATGTAATTTGGGGATTTGCACCAAAGGATCAGCATACCTCACAAGTTGAAAGTAGCCTAAGTGTCAACCTTGGAGTTTTAATTTTCAACTGTGGGATGGAGGTTACCTATTCCCAGCTTCTACCTAAAATTGGTGTCATGGTAACCAACCACATGAAAGAGGCATGGAATAAAATTGATAGGAAAAGAATGTATGGTGGGGAGTACAAGGAAAGGAGTGAGGTGAAAGAAAGAAGGAAACGATATAAGAGAATAAAATCAAAGAAAGCTGATGCTTTTCTCCACAAAGAAGGGTTACAGTACAAGTCTCAGGCATTCTATACCTCCAATAAAGACAAACCTGCTGGAAACCACAAAGTAACAGGTAAAGCAAAAGGAAATAGAAAAGGAAAGAGCAAGAAGACTAACAAAGGAAAGTAATAGCTGTTTTGTAAATGATCATGCCACTTTAGTAGACAACAGTCATCTCAATTAGGGAAAAATCATGGTCAATCCCTAATAGTATTGTTGGGAATCTACTCCTACTAAGATACTGCTGTTCAACAGACGGAGCATATTAATCATTTACAGTACAGTCTAGTTTTCGGCCTAAGCCCATGTTACATAACAAAATGTTGAATATACATTTATGTTTAATAAGGGGTCTACTTGTATTTATGTTATGCACTTGTCATTGGAACCGCCCCCCAGGGAAAACATGAGGCATTGGACCCTTTGAGAGAAAAAAGTGGAAAATGTCCCACCCCATTGCCAAGTTTCAAGCCGAGGGTGACTGGGTACGAGTCCCTAAATATTATGATTATCGACATCAAACCCACATAATCAGAAAGAGCACAATCAACCTATACAAAATCCCGAAGTTTGGTATTAATCGAGTAAAAACTGATCAAGATACAGGGGAAATGGGGGGAAGCTTGACAAGTAAATCACCACCCATCCCTCATATATGCTCCATGGGTGGAGGTGTCTTATGACAAGTACATTCCAACAGTCACAGAATTGTTCTTAGTAGGCATATATATATATACATATATATATACAGTCACAACTTTGGAAGTTTCAAGGTTTCACAAAAGTCATCCATCTGAACAGTGTATGCATCCTATATAAAGAATACAAATCAAAATATAAAGAAGGGGTACAATGTATAAAGATATTTTTATTATATATCTATTAATGAAGTCAATTCTACTGTCAAAGTTGTATATACAATATCAATAATTATGAATTGCAAACACTATGTTCTTTTGTAAAAAAACATTAATTTTGAAAAGTGTAAACATATTCATGTCATTCATATTTTCAGACCAAGTCTCCATGTATAAATGTTAATATAAAAATTGGGAAAGAGATAGGTATAAGCATTTTATAATATTCTGTGTAAAAGACATGGTTGATGGCCCATGCATGCATAAATATTGGCAACTTTTCCAACCCAAACTGGAAACAAAAGTCAGAAAAACTCACTTCTCTTATCTCTCCCTTGATATCACCTGGTGCGATGTATCTCAGGAATTGTAGGACTTCTCTTGGAAAAGCATATTCGCTATTATCAGGACCAACTCCATTTTTCTAGAATCAAGCAAAAATTTTGTTGCGTGAAGACCATGCACGCTTGGTAACTAAAGATTCAACTATGAAATCTTCTTTAATACTTACGATCAGTGCGTGTGCCCATCCACAATAGAAGAAATATCGTACCATTCTGGGAGGTTTACCCCGCTTCTTGAGTCGATCTTCGACGCCAATTTCAAGTTGACTGATGAAATGTGTTCCGTCATAACTAGTAAAAAATATGTTGCTGTATTAAATGCTGTGTATGTAAACGAACTCGGAACTGCTAAAAATATTATGTTCAAATCGAACAAGAAAAGAACAAAGCGAAACAACATACCCTTCATCTCTCATCGTCGAGAGCAATATTTGTTTGTAGTCCACATCACGATCTGCTTCAGTAAAACTATCTACTTTTGAAGGGCATTTCTTCCTTGTCTATCGTCGCTTTTTTTCGTCGCGGGTTTATCTTTATTTATGGACACAGGCTCAGCCTTGCATTTTCGCTTTGGAGGCATGACTAGTAGTTTTATAGTGACTTCTGTGACTTGCTTGACAAAAGTTTTACAGTATAATTTATACGGAAGTTTACATAAAATACATCGCTTGCCATAATTTATACGGAACATCACTTGCCACACGCGTTGTAATTGGTTAACAACAATTGAATTAATTAGTGGGGAAAAATAGACAGAACTTCAAAAAACCCCGCGAAATGTTTAAAGTCAATTATCAGATACATTAATTTTGAGTCGTAAACACGCACTAAAAAAGCTTGGTTAGTCGTGCGTTTTAACCAATCGTTCTGAAATTTGCACACACTGTAGGTGTATGTCTTGGCTACAAAAGGGTGTTCGCGCGAGTTTTACAAGCCTTTAGTTGCAAAATTACAGACCTTTTTCGTGCATTCGTTGCAATATAACACAGGTCGGGAAAGAACATGTCTTAGCTATGTAACCCCTGAAGCAACGATAAAATGCGAACACCCTTTTTTAGTGCCATACTCGAGAAGAGTAAAAATGATAGATTGACAGGATTTTAGTGAAACCTACATCTAACGTAGCTCGCCGCGCGAAGGTCCCATAAACTTAAACTTGTAACAATATTCGGGAAAGTTATTTCTTTCTGATATATTTTATAACCCTATGTTTTTTTTCATCTATCGGACTATATTTGGAGAAAATTTGAGAGAAATTGGATAAAAATTCGCCGAGTAATGGTAAATCTCCCGAAACCTGCACGTAGGGTCTCCTGTAACCTTAAAAGAGCAGAAATTTAGTGATGACCCCCCCACTCCCCCTACATATTAGAATAATTTTCTTTGACCCCCCCCCCCATTTTCATTTTTTCTCGTCAAATGGGGATACCCAGGCATTATAGTGTTAATTATTAAATAAGAATATGGAACTGACAAGATATTAACATTGACCAAAAATACATATTAGCAGAAAATTATAATTGAAAGAGGGGTATTTTCATATGTAACTCTAAAATCAGATTTTCATTTGGTCTGGGCGATTGTAACCATGTTTAACGGCAGAGAATTAATATTAGTGTTTGGAGCCAGGTGCCGTTTGTGGTCCAAGGCTGTAACTAGATTTGATGGCACGAAGTATTGCCATAGCAGCTGCGTAGCAATGAGAGTAACAATCAGTAATAGTAGCAGCAAAAGGAGATAGCCATGACAATTCTGGACATTCTGCATGCCAAGGCATATAAATATCACAATTTTACAAAATTTATTATATTTGAACTGTTTTAAATATGTCAACATGGATGATCCTGTTTTGGCTGTTCACATATAAACACTCAATATGCCATTCAGCCATTATATACTGTAGTGTGTGTGTAGGGGGGGGGGGGTGGAGGTTGTGTCTTAATTTGTTTGAAAATGCAAATTGAATCTAGATGCTTGATAATATTTTGCAGTTCTCCGTGAGATATATTGGTCAATGTAGATATCCAGACTTCAAATACAGTAGAATAATCTATTTTCTGCAAATAGTTTCAATAATTGTTTATTTTTATTATTAACTGCTCAGCAACAATGAAAACTATTACCTAACACCCTTGAATACTTTGATAATCTTACAGTGAGTATTTAAAAATTCAAACTGCATTTGTCAAAATGTTCGATATAAATGAGTGACTAGCTCCAGAGAGGGCCTTCGTATACAGTAACTCAAAGTTGCCCTGGAATTAATCCTGGATTATTAAAATAATTTAACTGGAATTTATGTCATGGTGGTGCTGCTGGAAGGCATTTGACCTGGAACATTGTTATATTGATTGGTGTTAACTGGTAACAGGAAGTGATAAGTTACAGGAAGTGATATTATTGGCAATGAATATAATAGTTTGCTTGAAGTATTCTTATCTGTCATTTGCACCATATTTTACACAGAAAAATGTCTGTGGTTTTGCTTTCAATTATTCTATCAGTATGCTGTGTACATGTAAGTAGTGTACACTTGTATGTAAAATTGTAAATTATAGCTACAACTTTGCTACTCTATAATCCTCACTCAAATAGGATCAAATAAATAAGGCTAGTCAAGTTTCGATCTGATAAAACTCCGCGTAAAAATGTTTTCAATTTATTTTAAAACTCGCATGATTATGTTGTTCTCACTCTATAAGGCCGATTTTTTACGTTTTTTCCCCGAAAATCCAGCAAATTACGTTTCGATTTTGATGTGTGAACTTCGAAGAAAAGCTCCCTCAAAACGCAGGAAATCGCATTTCCGAGGTCCTAGATTTCAAAATTTCCCGGGGGAGGATTCCACCGGACCCCCCTACAAATGCGAGGTTTAGTGCATCAGTCAACAAAACCACTGGATCCGCGCCTGAGTACCCTCGGAGTTTTTGGCCAATCTTCTGAAAATTTCGATGGCATGCTAAGTAGCCTTAAATGTGATGCCAAGTATAGTAAATACATAAAAAAGCAAATCGTGAACATATGCATACGAACATCATATTATGTATTTTGTAAACGAAACAAGATGTGGGATAACCGAAAATTAATGTTAATATAATCCTTCTTAAAATAATTATTGTACAATAAATATATAGTATCAATTCAAGTAGACATTGATAAACTACCTGTAAAGCGAGGTTTATCATTGTAGTTGTATATATCCTAATAATCAATAAATAAAGTTTCCATTATTATTATTATTATTATTATTATTATTATTATTATTATTATTATTATTATTATTGTTATTATTATTATTATTATTATTATTATTATTATTATTATTATTATTATTATTATTATTATTATTATTATTATTATTATTATTATTATTATTATTATTATTATTATTATTATTATTATTATTATTATTATTATTATTATTATAACCTCAAGCGGTGGAACATTCGAGATTCTCCAAATTGTGACCTTTGCAACAAAATTCAAACACAGCTTCATGTTCTTTCATATTGCCCTGTAGCGTTACAACAACATCGGTATACGTGGAGGCATGATTCTATATTAAACACCATTCTTCATCACTTAAGGAGAGTGATGTCGGAAGACCTGGAGATTTTTGCCGATTGTCCAGACTCTGGCTTGAAATGTACGTCCAATCTGTTTCAAGCGTTAAGGCCAGATATTACGATTCGTTATAAAAGAGAGTTGTATGTGATTGAATTGACTGTCCCATATGAAACGAACTGCATGATTGCAAGACGACGTAAACAAGAAAAATATCGGGCATTGCGATCACAGTTACTCGTACCGTGTGATAGATTTAAAGTTATAACTTTGGAAGTCACTACTCTAGGCTTCGTCACGAAGAGTATAGTATAGGCCAATTTCGTAGGCTATGTAGGTTGTTAAATTTGCAAGACGATCGTATCATAACAAAATGTATGGAGGTTGCACTTCGTGCCACTTTCTACATATTTTGTAAGAGAAATAAGAACTGGTCTTGCCCTGAAAAGCTCAGCTTCTATTAGCTACTAATGTGTGACAGTGTAGATAACGGACCTAGCTGCTTTATTCAGAGAACTGTTGTCTTATTTATTAAGTGTAGTTAGGGAAAATTTGGTCTGGACTCATAAATGTATGACTATATGGGTCAGGCTATGTAATTGATTTGTAAAGGTTTAAAAAAATTATTATTATTATTATTATTATTATTATATTACATCGAGCAGAGACACGTTTATACGTGCTCTGTACATGTCAATAGTTTCATCGCTGATTTCGTATTTGAATCACAGTATTTCAAAATAATTCTTAATATTGTTCATCACAAAAAGATTTTCATTATGATTCGTTCAAGCATTATTGCTATGTTATCGTGTCGCTTGTTCGTTTTGTGGACAAGACTTCGTCTCGCTTGGTCGCCATTCGTGGCGATGTAAACAACGGATTAATCACGCTGAGCAAGACCGCCCTAATATTACATCGAGAGATGTGCCTGTTATGCAGTCACCTAATGTTCCTGTACCAAGCCGCACTGTTGTTAAGTGTTGTTGTGGCAAGATATGCAGAGGTGCGCGTGGCCTTAAAATGCATCAGCGTAGTTGTCAAGTGATACATGACCTTAACGACGAGCTGTCTGCTGATCTTGAAGAGCAAATAACGACGGATAACACTGCAGATACAACCGAAAATGACAATTCTATTAACGACATTGATATGATTAATGACGAAAGTTTTCCCGAACTGAAACAAGACATAAATTTACCGAAAAATGACTCTGGGTGGCAAACGGTAATGATTATTTTAAATGTGCGCTCCAGTTAGATGATCCAATCAGAATGCGAGACGTGAACTCAAAGATCGAGCTTTTGAACGACGTTATATATAACTACTTTGCTGATAACTTTGGACATAACGAAACGGTACCTGACAAAAACATGGTTACTAAATATAAAGAATATACTGTAAAGGAGTTAAAGAAAGCTTTGCAATTTAAATTTAAAATCCAACAAAGGTGACCTTAGTGAAATTAAATACGTATCCCGCACATTGCGTGATAAGCTTCGTAATAATAACAAGGATGGGCTAACCTCTGATAGCAATGAGTCATTCAATCATGACAATTATATCGGACGGAACTTTTGGGGTTATATTAAAAACGTTATCAATAAGAAGGACTCAATATTACCATCATTTAACGTGACAGATTGCTTTACTTATTTTTCTAAATCTCTGGCTAAAATTAATCCCAATAGACTGTTTAACATTCCCAGCTGGATACCAAAGTTATCTGATCCCGAAGTTCAATTCAACCTTGACCCCCCGACTTATCAACAAATTACGAATGTGATACGTAAAATGAAATCGTCTGGCTCTCCTTGCCCCCATGATCAGCTTTCGATAATATGTTTTAAGCGATGTCCTTATCTGAGAACTTGCCTCAGTGAACTAATTCATGAAGTTTGGCTGTCTGGAACTGTCACGAATGAGTGGAAAAAAGCCTGTACTATATTAATACATAAGAAAGGTAACACTGATGATCCGTCAAATTTCCGTCCCATAACACTTGAGTCTATACCATTAAAAGTATTTACATCTTGTCTTCGAAACGCAATATATTCCTTCCTCGCATCAAATAACTTTATCGAACACGGCATACAAAAGGGCTTCACCCCTAACCTATCTGGCACTCTAGAACACACTGCGCAAATGGCTGACATTATCAACAAAGCCCGGATCAGACAACGTGCTGTTGTCATCACCTTACTTGATCTGAAGAATGCTTTCGGCGAAGTCCATCATAATCTCATCCAATCAGTACTCGACTACCATCACATCCCAGAACACATAAAATTCGTTATAAAAAGTTTATACACTGAGTTCCAAACCTCAATAATTACCTTGGAATTCCGCACCCCTTTTATATCTGTTGGCCGTGGCGTATTGCGAGGAGATTGCCTCAGTCCTCTTCTTTTCAATATGTGCTTCAATACTTTTATCCAACATGTCAAAGCTGAAAAGTACCGTCAGTTTGGCTTCTCCTTCAAGCTATTAAATCCTATCCACTGGTTCCAATTCGCTGATGACGCAGCCGTAATCACTGGCCAAGAATCTGAAAACCAGCATCTCCTAAATCGTTTTTCCATCTGGTGCCAATTGTCCAATATGATTATCAGAGTCGATAAATGTAGTACCTTTGGCATCAAGAAAGCCATCACAAAATCAGTCCAATATTTGCCGAAACTCATCATCAGTAATAATCTGATACCAACAGTAAAGATTGGAGAAGCATTTCAATATTTAGGACGTTACTTTGATTTTAACATGTCGAACGATAACTATAAGACTGAACTAACCACTCTCGTTAACGAACTAATGACTGATATTGACTCGAAGCCACTCCACCCAAGAAATAAGCTTCTCGTATACAGTCGTTATGTCAAACTTTCTAAAACATGGGTTATTGAAAATATTGATCCCGTAGTCAACTAGTACATCCGTAAATGGCTTGAAATTCCAATCTCAGGAACACTAAGTACTGTTTTTCTAACTCGCAACAAATTTGGTCAAAGTATTTATCCTCCATCGGTGAAATTTATCCAATGCCAAACAGTTCTTCGAAAAGCTTTAAAACTTTCTCCAAATCAATCAATCAACGAACTGTGGAAATCTACTAATACTCATACTAATATCCAATACGACTTTTATAACTCAACCAAAGAAGTGCTTAAAGACTTTCGGTCTGAACATGAAGGTAAACTCCAAAATCAATTAACTTGTCAGGGATCCTTTTTCTCTAGTGTAACAAAGTTCTCCTTGTCGCATCTTAGCAAAGTGTGGTCTACTGCTCAATCAAAACTTCCGAAAAACATTTATAACTTTACCATACGCTATATCAATAACTCTCTTCCGACACGCAAGAACCTTAGCAGATGGGGATTGTCTTCAAGTTCAGAATGCTCCTTTTGTCTTGGCCCAGAGTCATTATTGCACGTGGTCGCTGGATGTCAGTGTTATCTCAATCGATTTACGTGGAGACACAATTCAATCCTGAACTTCCTTGCCAATACCTTGCAAACTGTGAACGGTTCTGCCCTCTACGCTGATGTGCCTGGATTCAAAAGTCCTTCAATAATAACTGGTGATACGTATCGCCCGGATTTGTTGCTATCGTTATCAAATGACATCTCTTTATGTGGTCGAGACAAACCTCGAGAACAACGTTAATCGGAAAAAAGCCAAATATAAAGAACTAGTAAAACAACTAGACGAAAATTTTAACGACGTAAACTTTATAAATCTTTCTATGAGCTCCCTAGGTATTTTTGCGCAAGAATGCTCTACGTTCTTAGAAATGTTAGGAAATGTTGGTCTGGACAAAAACTACCAAACGTACTGTGTTAGGAAAATGATGACTATTGCCATTCGAAGTACATACTATATTTTTTGCTGCCGAAATAAGGAATGGGAAAGTCCGGACTTGTTAACTATTTGAAATATCTGATTGTCTTGTATATTTATATATTTTCATGTATTCTGTCTTATCATTTTTATTAGTTGATATAGTTGTGATTCAAATAGCCAATTGTAAGTTACCTTAAATTAGTGAGATTTACAATTGTATATATATAGTATATAACAAAATTATTAAAGTTTCCATTATTATTGTTATTATTATTATTATTTAAGCTTATTTATTCAATGTAGCCTTTCATGTGTCTGTTTTCCAAGAGACTCTGCACACTTATTATAAATTATTATCAATTATTATAAAAACAATCATGCATAATATACATACACTATTTACATAAACGTATACGGTTATATAGGCAGGATGACCTCCCAATTCAAAAATACAAGCCATCGACTAATCTCTTGACAGAACTCATAGAAGTTTCAGGAATTTTTATTAATTATTCGAAATTTTTCCATTAAATTTGGTTCCATGAAACTGCTCCTTTATTGGAGAAGCTTTGCTTAATAAAAAATGGTTTTGGTAGGTGGAGCTTTTGATGCTTATTTTGTAGTTGGTAAGTTTGGTTAACTCACTCGCATGAAACATCTGTGTTAAATATTCTGGAGCCATGCCCCTAAGTGCTTTAAATGTCGTCACTAATTCTCGCTTTCCTAGTCTTGATTGTATTTTTGTCCATTTGAACATTAGAAAGAATTTAGAAGATCGTCTACTAAGCACGAACTGGTAATGACCCATGCTGCACGCTTTTGCAGTTGAAGCATTTTTTCGGCTTGCATTTTATTACCATCATACCATATAGTTGAACAATAGTTTAAATAGGGTAGTACAAATAACTTGTACATCATCTGTAGTGTGTTGCTTGAGGTACGTAAAGCTTCGCCTTTCGTAACATATAGCTATAGAACAAGAAATCTTTTTGGTTTGTTTTTCAACATGTTTTGAGCCTAAGAGCTTTTTCTGCTAAACCTATTTGATTATATCATTTCTAATTTTAATTAATAATAAGGTAATTTTATATCTGTTTCAATCGCTTTACAGAGCCAATTAACAGTTTGTGTTTTTATTTCTTCATTTAATGTTAATTTGTTTGAATCTAACCAAGTTTTAACGTTTTGGATTTCCACCCCTAATTTGTATTCAATTTTGAAAGAAGACTCTCCAGTTGCAGTTATGCTTCAGTATCAGCAAACATGATGGGTTCAGCTATTTCTATAAACTATTTGGCAAACAGTGGGGTAGCCAAAACGATAATTGGGGGGTGGTTATATTCATATATTCGTGTTCTGCTTTATTAATTTATTTTGAAATCAATTGTTGTTATGGTATGTGAACACAAATACATGAATATGCCCCCACCCCAATTATGGTTCTGGGTACGCCACTGTTTGCAAATCATTGATAGAAATTGTAAATAGGAGTGGCCCAAGGTTAGATCCTTGTGTGATGCCGCATTAAATGTTTTGGATGGTCGATAGCGAGTTATTTACTTTGCATATTAGTTTCCAATTACTAAAAAGATATGACTGAAACCATGATAGTGCTAATCCACATGTCCCATAACATCCCAATTTCGATAATAGAGTCTTCAGGTTTACCGTGTCAAAAGCCTTTTGAGGTCTAGGAATTGGACACCATTTTATCAAACCAGCGTTCATGTTTGCTAACCAGCTGTTATAGTTACATGTAATAATGTTGTTTCGGTTTTGGTAATCCTGACGGTTTACGAAACGGAAAATTGCTTCGCCTATACCTTAGCAATTATTTTTCAATATATAATCATGTATTTCCAATATTTATCGGGTTTTCAAGCAAATCAACTAGCAGAGTTACCAAGTGATTATTGTTAAAGCCCACATTCTGCGAGACTAGTTAACAGGTATATTTTGTTGGTTACCGTGCCCGGCTAACTGCCTTTTGCCTCGCCTTCTGGGTGTAGTTCTTTACAACTGAGAAAGGTCCCATTTGGTGTTATTACTATATAGAGGTTAAGAAAATTTTGCTAAATAGGCCTTACCGATTATTCGGTTAGATCTGCTAACCCAATGGTCTCGCTTCCATGTTAACTTATTTTGGTATGTCAGCGCCAGATAAAGATTATTTTCCCATGTTTGTATGTTCTCCTGGACGAATTTGTTTCTTGCTGTTCTTAGGCTCAATAATATAGTGATTTTCAACCCTACTAAGCACAATGGGTAAGGGTAAGGTTTATTAGTTGAAGAGAAAAAAGCCTTGGAGTCACCTTGTACAGCAAACTTCTTTGGAACACTCACATAAAATTATATCGAATTAACGCCAACGAAATACTTGGTGCGCTCAAGAGCTATAGAACCTGCCCATGATTAAGTCAGCACATACACTCTACATTTCATTGGTTAAGTCGTGTAGAAGTGTCAGGCAACACAAATTTGGTCACCAGTGCAAGGTAAGAATTAAGATAATGCATGGGAGAGCTATGTTGTGGATTTTAAAACTAGGATCGGTGAAATGTCGTATTAAACAATGAACAGCAATTAAGTATTAAAATTCGAAATGTCGCTTCTCGTTTTTTCATGTGGTTTTACGATTACCGCGATCTAAATATTAACAGTTACAATTTCTTCGTTGAACATGACAGTCACATGCAAGTCAAACTCGTGGACGTCTTTGCCAGAGAACTCCCAGAGGGCTCAACTACTGTCACTAACAAGTGTAAAATAATCAAAATAATAAACTTGGCTTAAAAGATTTACAAGAACATCGATAAATATATTATGAATGGAGAAAGAGCAAAAAATGATCTATTTGAAGTACTATAGAATCATCAACAGGTAGGTAATGCGTATGAGATAATAGCATAATTAATAATAGATAAGTTGATAGGAAGGGTTGAAACACTGGTCACATGGTCGTTCGATGTTTATCAAGAGTACACTCTTAAAAATAAGTGTGTTATATAACCTACTTATTTTGTCCAGAAATTAACACGGGTTATATAACACACTGTGTGTTAGATAACACACCCTAGGGTGTGTTTTTGGCTTGTCCAAAAATTAACACGCTTTACGTGTGTTATTGAAAAAAGTGTGTTATTTAGCACACAACAGTGGGTTTAAAAACACACAACAGTGTGTTATTGTTAAGTGTGTTATCTAAAAAGGTGTGTTATTTAGCACACAATAGTAGATTGCTAAAACACACCTTTATGTGTGCTAAACAACACACATACAAGTGTTTCTAATTAATTCCAAACCCGCAACAGAAACACACTTTTAAATGTGTTACAGAATCTGGATAAAAGAAATGAATATTTTAATCATTGAAATTGTGCATACACTTTATTACATGTACTTTAAAATATTTACAAATATAAATGGAAAATATGGGATCTTTAATCACAATGCGGCCTATAGGTTATAATTTATATTATACATATATACTGTACTATGGTACGCAAAATTTGCCAAACGTTTGGCCATATTGGTTGAATGACAGGTCAAGACAAGTGAAGTTTCTTTGGGTTTTTTTGCCACTTATAACTACAAAGCAAAAGTAACTCGATGCAACTATATATATTGTTTAATGTTTATCACTACCTACACTGACACATGCATGCTTACACTCATGAATGCACAATTTCTACACTGTCTAAAAATGTGAATATATTATTTATTTATTTAACCTTCAATAACTGTCCGTTCCACATTTGGAGAATCTTTCCTCTGTAAATGTCAAATATAAAGGCATTCAGGGTCATCCACTATTTTCTTGCATTACAAGGTTTGTGTCTACCGCAGACATATACATGATGTAAGATTGAAGGAAATTTGATGAGTACCAGGATAGGATTGTAACGATCTGTGTACATCTATCTAGCAAAGAACACAAAACAGCAAATGTATTAATGTATTAAGAAAAAAACAATGCTTTTAAAAGTACACCCTACACACATAAGACATATATGGAAAAGCAGAACATATTTGCAAATATTGACATGAATCACGGGTGGATCAAGCTTCACTTGTTAGAGAAGGGGTTGATGTTTTCCAAAGATGGGGGGGGGGGCATTATTATAGGGCATTCTCCTCCGGAAAACGTTGGAATTTGAAGCCATGAATGCGATTTCCTTATTAAATTTGTTCTCCTCTCAACGATTAAGAAAGTAAACCTTAAACTCTCTCCTTTAAAAAAGTCGTCTGGTGTCAGACAGAGTAAAATAAAGGGTGCATCAGGGAGTATTGCCAAGAATGTGCAAAGCGACGCTACCTACATGTATAGTCAAAACACTAAAAAAATTGTGACAATTCCATACGGTTTATAAATACTCGGCATTAGCCCTTTGTGCTATCCCATTGCACGCCCATGCATGCACCCTACTTTATTATTTTAATTAATCTGCCTACTGCAAGATGATTTTACAGGTACTTGTCAAGGGAAGATTTTTGTCCATTAATGGGTTAACCTGAGCATCTGCTAGTGTGTTCGGTAACTTTGGTTAGCCCTTGAACTATTTAAGTAGCATTGTAGCCTTTCAGTGTTATTTTACTCCACAAGAAGAGACTGCTGGAAGTCTGGAACTTGATTTGACATTGTGCTAAATGCACCCTACTTGTTATTTTACATGTACCCTATCTCAAACCAAGTCATCTCAAACCAAATAAAGGGTGAGTGTTGACAATTAATGGGTTGATGTGTCAAATGAGCCATCCATCTAGAGAGAGGTAGCATGAATTTGGTTCAACAGTAAATTCAACCGATAAACAACTCCCAAAAAATTAAATTAGTGGAGAAAATTCAGCTTGTAAGGGGCAAGCATATATCGACAATAGTGAGTGAGTGACACATTAACCTTCAAGTGGCAATGCGCCCTACTTTATTATTTTACTCTGTCTAATATCACATTATTTTACCCTGTCTAACGCCAGTTAATTTTACTCGTCAGGAGGAGAGTGGTGTCACTCAATGTGCCATCTCACCTTAACACTACATGTAGCAATTAATCTACTTGACTACTTCAAAAGCAGTATTTAACAGGAAAGTGAGTGACACATTAACAAATTAATCACTGGTACAGACATACAGTCTAATTGCATTCTGCCATTGAAAAATCATTTCAAGAAAGAAAAATTACTTCATTACAGTGTTACCTGTGTCAAATGGATCATTTGTCCAGGACAGATACGAGATGTTCTATCTCACCCTACATTATCTAACAGGGAAGCAATTGAGCCAGAGTTCCTTAGCTATATAATTAATCACTGGTGCGGTCCAATTGCATTTTGCCATTGAAAAATCATATCGATACATCGCCATTTCAAGAAAGAAAAATTACTTCATTACCTGTGTTACCTGTGTCAAGTGGGTCATTTGTCCAGGATGGATTTAAGAGATGTGCCATCTGACCTTAACACTACTGCCCATATTCTAAAAGCTCACTCACATTCATGATCAATGAGTGGAGGTCCAATCTGAGCTTCTCTTGAGTATCGTCAATGCTGTTTTTGAATAGGGTGAGACAGTGAGTAGTCACATAGTAAGGTATGACACTAGTCCTCCAGCTTTTCAAAAACAGCAATGACACTTGAATCCTCCACTCATTGAGTGTAAGTGAGCTCTCATGTTGAATCCTCCACTCATTGAGTGTAAGTGAGCTCTTAGAATACGGGCGGTAGTGTTAAGGTGAGATGGCACATCTGTCCTGGACAAATGATCAATATCTGCCCTGGACAAATGACCAACTTAACTTAATGTACTGTAATTAGTCACTGGTACAATTCAATTGCATTTTGCCATTGAAAAATAATATCGATACAATGCCATTTCAAGAAAGAAAAATTACTTCATTATAATGTTGTATCTGTGTCGAATGGGCCATTTGTCCAGGACGGATAAGAGATGTGCCATCTCACCTTAATACTACATGTAGCAATTATTCTACTTCAAAATGAGATTCTATCAGGTGTTGCAATAAAGATTCTATCAGGTGTTTATCTTTTGACATGGCTGAGAATTTTTGACTTTAATTTTTGTCATGGCAATGTTATAATGTGAACAATATATAATAATCAATATTTTCACTTATAAATATTAATACTTAGGACTCTCCCATTGGCCTTTGATAGGTAAAATTACCTCATAAGATCCCCTTGGCAAATAAAATTAAGATTGCCCGGCATTAGACAGAGTAAAACAATAAAATAAGCTATATTTGGGAACATTGCAGCTTAATGGTTAAAAATCAAATATAAAATTACAGTTGGCAAAAAATAATCATGAAGCACCAGCTCAGGTCCAGCTGTGTAGTGCATACTGTATACAGTATCATCTTACACACAGAGTATTATAAATAAACGAAATTCCACCGTTCAGTAATCAATATAAAAACATTACCATTTGCCATTGAAATTTAATGAATAAAATATTGTTGTCTGTATTGTTGTGCGTAGTGAATGCACAAAATCATCCATTCCTATATGTATATGTGTATGATATAGTTGAGGTGGTTGGACTTGGAACAGCCATTTCCGATTTTCCTGCTCAGGTTCTAAAATATTTGTCTTTATAATTGAAAGGAAAACAGTAAACGCAAGATAAATCAGACAAAGCTACTTGTAAATCAAAACGCGCGCAAGTTTTCTTAACTGAGACTGCAAATTGATAATGCAGAGAATAGCCTCAGCCGATCAATATTAAAGCAGTCGTATCATATTCTATAAATCGCAGACAACAATCATTACATTATAATTCTCGCATTATATTATAACAAGACGCTCTATTGAGCGTTAGTCGCTGGGGCTATTGCATATTATGCTGCATGCGATTGAGATTAAGACTGCTATTTGTTTGTTAAGTTTATGTGTTCATATAATAAAATTGTTTTTGTCAAAAATGGGATTCAAGGAAAAATTAGAACAAAGTTCATCAAACAAGTCCCCGGACTATAGACAATAAACAAATTTGTCTAAGTTTGGTTATATCCAATTCACAACTTTACATAAGTCACATGCCTTAAGGCTGCATTCCAGTTACGCGTTATGAAATAACTAAATTTATAAAAGGACAGCATTCAGTTTTGTGTATGATTTAATGTGTATTTGTTAATAAAGGTTATTTGCACTTATATGAAATTTTAAGCGAATTCAACTTTTACGTGCGTGTACGCACATGTACGCACCTGTGAAACTGGAATGCAGCCTTAAGTATCATTGTTCTGGTGTACTGAAGCATAGAGTAGAGCAAAGATAACTAAGCTTTAGAATTATTTAGCTACATGAATGAATGAATGACTTTTATAGTGTATAGGGCTTATCAAATGCTTAGTTACCTCTGTTCTGTTCTATGTGTGAACTACTGACAGTAGAACACTAACTAGGCATGAATATTTAAAGTTGTGAATTGCATAGCAACAATGTAACTAACTTTGCCAAATTTATCTATTATACAAATTAATATGTTCTGTGTGTTTGAATTGTACAATACCTATTGTGAGATAACAGCTGTCCTGAGAGCTTTTAAAATATCATTTGCCAGCAAGGCAACAAGCTCTATTAAACCCTTGTCCCATTAAGCAGATTCTATTTACATCCAAATAAACAGCAACTTGCGAATATTGTTGCAATTTACGAAGTTCCAACTTTGTGAAAATTGTGAACTTTTGTCGTCTATTTCAGGCTTCCAGCCTTCCAAGTTTACTCATATAAGATGACTTTCGGTTTATAGAGTCTGGCTGATGGGAAAACTATTAAGTTTCATCGAAAAAATGAAGAAAATATGCACAAAATCGATGAAATTATTTCCAAATACGCTCCCAAATAGGCGGCCATCTTGAATCCAGCGACTGAAAGTAATGACGTAATGTTTGACAAAAAAATGACGTAGGTCATTTTGTGACCAACAATCCGCGATGAAGCCGAAACCTATAGTAGCTGGAGGCACAGAGTGCCCCAGCGACTAATAACTCACCTTATTCCTTTCGACGTACGATTATTGCATCTTTGAAGTTACAGGCGAACTAGTTCTAACCACTTCGTCTGTTTCTCTGTCAAGGCGGAATTCTTAGTATGTTGACGCTGTGAACCACACGTTTTGAATTGCATAATTTGGCGGCCAGACCGTTGTCGTTCAAAATACAAACTGCAACCATGCTCGCCCCTTCCTCACTCTGTTTTAAAGCCATCTTCATGATTGAAATATGAAAATACTAGAGCCATTTTAGTCCGTTTGTATCGATTCCATCGCACTGACATTTGAAAAGAAGCCACTCGCACCACAAATACACATACATGTAATAATATTCTCATACAAACGACCAGAATAAATGCTGCTCTCGATTGCAAGAAGAAGGTATTAGATTTCACGGCAGCACTATCCTCATTGGTTGAAACTTGAAAGCTCAATCATGCGGCGCGCGAATATTCAAATATTTCGGCTGCATGGTGTGTTATAGTGTGTTACTGCTATTGCGTAGCGTCTTGTAGTATTTGAAATGCAATATAATTTGAGCTCCAATTTCGATTGCTTGATTAGCTCGCATACTTTTTAACTTTCCAGTTTCCAATCTGTATGAAATGCACAACACACGTGATACATGGGGACTATTTCTGTTATTATGTCTAGTAAACACTTGTGAATTCAAATGTTTCCTTTGTGAAATGGTTAATCAGCCAGTAAATAATATTTGATTGTTTCAGTATTAATAAAGACCATGTCAAGTCCGTTCAGCTCATATAAAGAAAGCCCACAGATATAAAAATTGCCCGATTTTTGCATCGTGACTCGGGAACTTTTTTGAATTGAAATGTACTCTAGTCATAGGCGTACCGGGCGGGGGGGCGGGGGGGGGCGGCAGCCCCCCCAGTTTTTTGAGGAGTCGGACAATATTCGATCAACAGTCGGGCAATTTTGGCTTGCAATAAAAAAAAATGTGACAAATTCTGTAAATTTTGTCTAAAATTAAGTCAATTTTTGTGATATTTCGAAAATTTTTGTATATGTTCCGAAAAATATTGGTTGTCCGGAAAAATTTTTTGACCCCTAAAATGGTACACTGACCGAAATTTTTTTGGCGACGGGGGGGGGGGGGAGGTCGCCAAAAAAATTTTTCCGGAAAAAAATTTTTGGTACTAGTCGGGCAAAATCCCGAAAAGTCGGGCAATTTTCTTTCCGCCCCCCTGATTTTTTCCTTCCGGTACGCCCATGACTCTAGTGACTCTAGTTTTATATATTCATTTACAATTGCGAACCCAGAAAAGTGTTAGCTATTCAGTTAGCCTTATTTTACAAATATAGCAGTTCAAAATGTAAACAAAGTATAAATCTCCAAATGTTTACCAATTTGACAATTAATTTACCGAATACCGATACTGTAATAATGAAATCGGGCGAGCCCTATAGCCTGCGATCAGGCTTGCTACTATAAAGCGTGTTTTATAAAAGTGTGTTTGTTTAAGATGTGTGTTTTGTAAAGGTGTGTTTGTTGGTTAAGTGTGCTTATTCTGTGCAGTGTGTTTTTCTATTAAAGTGTGTTTATCTTTAAACTTGGGTTAATTAACACGCTTTTCATAGCAAGGGTGTGCTAACTAACACGGTACAAAAAGTGTGTTTTTCTGAAAGTGTGTTATGTAACACATTCACCTCCATCGCTGTGTGTTATGCACTGTAACTGTGTGTTATATAACGCACATGTGTGTGTTATTTAACTCACAAAGGTGTGTTATGTCGAAATCGTATGCCAAAAATGTGTTATATAACACACTTGACGTGCTATATAACACATTTTCGTGTGTTTTGCAACACACCTATTTTTAAGAGTGTAGCCTATCCACTCGGAGATTTCCGATCGCAGTTCGGAAATGCATCTCAAAGCTATTTTTGATTATAGAGCAATTTCTGATTATTTACATTTTTAAAAACTTATGATTCAAACTGTAGTCTATACTTAATCTGATCATGAATGCAAATCCCAGCATCTCACGAGTGCCGAACTTTATCCGACTGAATAGTCTACTCTTGGTATACATATCGGGAACGGATAACTTGCTGTTAAAAATTATTTAGGGAAAGGGTTATCCACGTTATTTCTTTACTACTTATCTTTGTTCGTCTAAGAGTATGCTAAATACGTTGTAAAATAATCAAATCATGTCGAAACGGTTAATTAAATTAGATCAAGCATTTAAAAAAAATCACGTGACCGGTATTTCAACTTTTCTATTACTTTATCTATTATTAAAGGTGATCTACAGTCCGATCTGCGCATGTGCACAAATGAGCCCACTTTTTATGATACAAACAGTTTAACTATGTTTTGAGTTCTTGAAAAGCCTGATTGTTGTTTCTTGATCATTTATTATACTCTAGAAGCTTGAAAATATAAATAGTTGTCGAATAAAGCCCAATATTTTGGACACAAAAATGTAAACAATGGCTTTGTTTACATACGGACTGTAGATCACCTTTAAGTTATTACCTCATACGCGCCCGCATTACTTACCTGTTGAGGATTCTATAGTAGCTGCTTCAGATAGATTATTTTTTTGCTCTTCCTGCATTCATATCGACATTCTTGCGAAGAATTTATGCAAATATTAAAAAAAAAATTAAGAGGCAGTCCGTGTAAAAACCGACCACTCGAATTTCTTAAGATTACAGATTTCCTTCAAACTTTCTGTGTGGAAGAAGTCATTCATAAAATGAACAAAAAACGTTGTCTTGGAAATTGTAGTCAGTTTTAAAATTTTTTTCGCAATTATTTTCGGACGCGTTCGAAAACAAGTTAAAACGTTAATTACGCAAGTGATATTTGAGCTTTTTTATATCTCACAGTTCATCTCGCGCTTTTATTCTAACTTCTTGAAACTTACATATTTTATTATTTCCTGCCTAGGTATAAACCTAAACTAAAAATTATCCTGATCACTTGAAGCAAACAAAATATTATGTATTTTTAAAAAACGTCTTTCGGACAGCTGATTAAATATTCGTGTTAGTATGCTGGCGGTAAATTATTTTTTCTCAAAAGTGCAACGGTATCAGGTATCCAATCTATTGCAGCTACTGAGTATTATGACACATCTACTAGAATAAATAATAAAATCTTTGGGCAGTGTGTTTTTCGCTTGACAAGCGTGTCATGAATATAGTCAATTTTCGCTAATTAGACTAATTATAAGCTATAATTTGTTAATGCATTCACTTAAATTTTTCGCGTTAAAAACCTACAAAACTGTTTACTGTTTCAAATATGGCTCTTTTTTGGATAGAGAAAGAGAAAGATGCTTGAAATTTTACGTTTATGGGTATCATTAAATACTACATGCATGGTATATATAAACAAAAATGTATAAGAAAAGTGCGGGAAAGGATATATGTGTGCCAATTTATACGAATGCCTTGAAGGAGCACTTTTTTCTCATCATAGATATAGTGCAGATTTATTTTGCCACTATCATATGAAACAAATATTTTATACATGTTTAATATTTTCATGTTTTTTAAGAACTGCAATTACATGCTGATCTCGGTTAAGGTCCTGTCACACTATTGCGTATGAGAGAAACGTATGAATAGCGTAAACCATGCATGTGCATGCATACGTCCGCATACTCGAAAATTTTTTAACCATGCTTACCTTGCATGGTTCCCTGATTTTTAAATAGACACCTTACAATTTAGGACAGCAACGGCTACAAATACAATAAATAATTAAAAAGAATTCAATAATTGCAATATATGAATAATTTAGACATTGTCCTCGCTTTGTATACAACGCCAAATCACAGATTTTCACGTCTTGATACAACGGCTGCATTTCAAGCCGCAACAAGTGCAACTTCAAACTGGCTTCAGCAGAACTCTTCGCAAACATAAAACCCATTAAATTCATATACGATTGTATTAAATTCATACGATTGCTAATATACCACGAATTGTCTTTAGGCCACTATTTGCTGTATATTAGTTTCTCATCCCCGCCCGCATGCTTTTTTAAGAAAATGGCCTTGTTCGCCATTATTATTGCCATTTTTGACCATTATTATAAATTTTGTGATGTCTTCAAAGTGAAATTTGAAAGAAAGACAATTAGAAACGTTCCCAAACCAAATGTTATAGTTAAAATACAAAATTTCATAACCAAACTGCACGTTTTTCCCGCATTACGTACACACTTATTAAATCAACCTCGTACCCAGGGCTAGTCGCGAATTGAAGGCGGCGACGTAGCCCTGGTAAACGCTGGTCACGTGTCAGGCAAATACTCCAAGATTCTTGGAGTATTAGCCTGCGAGCGGGCTTTGTGGAAATAAAGACAGGGGGCGACGAAAAGTTCACGAATGGAACTTGAATTGCCGCGGATTATTTATATTCTTTTATTTTTTGTTGTAATCTTTCTTCTTAATATGTTACGTTTATATATTACGTCGAATGTACATCAATCTTCTTTTATATCGCATCATGTAAATCGCCGAGGAGGCGATGTTTCGAATTTCGAAGCAGTGAAAATGGAGCCAATCTCGTATTCTCGTCCATACTATTTGTGATGATTTCCAT